TGAAACATTTTTTTATCTTGTTTAAATTACATTTTTCTGTCTCTCTAAGTTCTATATTTCATGTTAAGAAATGTAAAAAAATGCAACAAAAATAACAAATGTATTATAACTTAATAAAAAGAAGAACATAAAACCAATATAATAAAAGCACAAGATATTCCTTGTGATATTTAATATATAATTACATTAATAAATTTAGACGTTTCGACCACAATCTCATCTTCAGTAAAAGTTACAAATATCCATAAAATACAAAATTTACACAAATCTGACATTAAATTCATCGATCAAAAATATAAATATATAAACGCATTCTTTCCTCTTGTAAGAGTACATCATAAAACATTGTAGCGCCAATTATCATATTGCAAATTATGTAGAACAAGAATTTCCAGATTCTAATTTAATTATAATTTAAAAAATTATATTATCGTTAATATTTTCTAGTCAATTTGATGAGGATTAACAGGTAACAATTCGTTACTTGTTTTACAGACAAAATGATGAATCTTAAGCAAGATGAATCTTTCCTCACGCAGATGGAAATTCGTCGTGACATTGTATACTATTATTTATCCATATCTTCATATGTCCACTATTTATATGTGTGTCAAAAGAGAAAATAGATTATTCTAGAATTATTTTTAGTGTGAGAGAGATCTTTCTTTAGAAAAGGAAGATAAACATCAGGCAAATCTTCAGTGTCACTTTGCTTATTGATATGTCACTACTTATTTGAGAGACTAGAAAATATTGATAAATGATAATATAATTTTTTAAATTAGAATCTGGATTCTTGTTCTACATAATTTGCAATATGATAATTGGCGCTGCAACCACGTTTTATGATGTATTCTCATAAGAGGAAAGAATGCGTTTATATATATTTACATTTTTGATGAATTTAATGTCAGATTTATGTAAATTTTGTGTTTTATGGATGTTTGTAATTTTTACTGAAGATGGTCAGATTGTGGCCGAAACGTCTAAATTTATTAATGTAATTATATATTAAATATCACAAGGAATATCTTGTGCTTTTATTATATTGGTTTTATGTTCTTCTTTTTATTAAGTTATAATACATTTGTTATTTTTGTTGCATTTTTTTACATTTCTTAACATGAAATATAGAACTTAGAGAGACAGAAAAATGTAATTTAAACAAGATAAAAAAATGTGTCAATCTGCATTTTAAACATTAACTATAAAATTTTCTTACTTTAAAAAACCCAATATTAAAATAACAAGTAACATGATTGTTTTTTCATAAAAAAGTTTTTATTTTATTAAGACAGTTATTAATTAAAAATATATCTTATCAAAATATATCTTATCTGATTGTCTAACATAAGAACACAATTTTTATCTAATGATTTTTCGAATTATGATCTATTAGGTGTTGGAATTAATTCGTAGCGTTTTTTAATGAAAGAATGTTATTTATTTCACATGAGCATTAAAAAATACATTAATGAAAGTACTTCCCATCACTTGTAAAACGCTACGAATTAATTCCAACACCTAATAACTACCTGCTGGTTCTAAATTGAATGTCACAAAATGCAAAAAAAAAAAGAAACGCACGTAAATACATTCGTTTATCTTAATTACCACAGTTCAAGTTATATATGAATGCGTCAATAATACAATTTTATTTTATTTCCCCGCGCTTTAAACTTTAACAAACACTTGTTTTAAATATACTTATATTAAAATATACTTTAAATAATATTTATTTAAATACATCAATTATAAGAAAATTTAACGATAAAAAATAAGAATATGACACAAATATATCAAGCGAATATAACAAATCTGTTTCTTTAAATTGCGCTTCCTGCGTCTTCCTGTTTTTCTTTCCTTGCTCGCATCACAGGAGAACGAGAGAACTTGGTAAATATATCGTTCGCTGTGTGTGTTAAAATAAATGACAGAAAACAGCGGCTGGCTAATCAATTATTACGTGTAGTCCAGTGTAGACGAGAAGATGATTTATCGAAGAAGCGCTATATCGAGCGCTGGCTGTGCGATTCACGTGAGCAGGCCATTCAAAAAGTAGGCGTAGCCCCGCGAAGATCATAGGCCGTCTGCTACACGGAAACGAGATCGTTTTCTCGTCGAAGACGATCGTAATCGATCGCGCGAAGCATCGTCGTCAACGGTCGCCGTGCGATCGGTGAGCCGCGTTTTTCCTAATCGGAAATCGACTGGGAATTTCGCGAATTCGCGCCCGATCGGGGAAGACGATGGCGCATACAAAGTGCCACCGGATCGATATACTACAGCATGCTCGTTCGCGCACGGATCTCCAACGGAGAAACATTGACTCGGAAACCATCCGCATGAGCGACGAGACGTTGGTGGCCGCGTCAATTGACTCGGTCGCGAATACTCACGGCGAGAGATGTTACGTTTTCCAGCACAATAAGTCCAGCCAGCAACGAGAACTGTACGTCTGTCTCACGACTCCGGTCTAGCTGTTATCACAAGACAGGTCAGCTGACTCGGTGCTGAGTCGCGTGCCGATTCTCAATTATTGGGCGCGCACGCGCGCATTAAGATGGTATCCGCATGAGAGCTACGGCGGCGAATTATCCTCGCATTCGAATTATGTTAATATTGTTCCTCCTTTTGTTATTCTTCTTACATCCATTTCTACTAATTTTAATTTAGGTTCAATTCACTCTTCATCTTTTTCTAATTTTTCTAGATTTAAGTATTAGAAAAAAATTAAGACTAAATCGAACCGAGATTAAAATTAATTTATATCGGTGGAAACGAATATTAGAATTCCTATAATAAATATAAGGAACACTATATTTATAATATACTTATAATATATTTATAATATATTTTTAATATAGTATATTTTTAATATTTATATTTTTAACATTATATTTTAACATTAAAAAGAAGCTTATTTATAAAAAAAAACTTTATATATATATATTTCACTTTTTCTGTGTAATATATATATATTAATTTAAAATAAAATTCAGTTAATAAAAGAATTAACACATGTATATATATATATATATATATGTATAAAATAAATATACTTTTTACATATATAGAAAATAAAATTGTATAATTATAAATTAATCTGTGGAATCAATAAATTATTTCATTGCATTTATTCTTTTCTTTTGATTTTTCTATTAGAAAATACAATAAAGATCAAAGATTAAGATATCTTTTACAAATAAAACTCTTTCATTACTATCTACGAAATGTTTAATAAAATTTTTTTTGCTACATTAATTTTTTTCGTCCACTATGCATGATACTTTATAGATCTTCATTTACAATTAGGAATTAATGTGATTCTTAATGAAAAACACAAAATAAGTAGATATTTATTATTTTATAACTTTCGATGAAAATCATACAATCTGAATATAACAAAAAAATTGTAAAGGCACAAATACAGTACATTTTCAAGGATTTACCTCAAATTGTGCGAAAATTGTTCATCTTTACAATAATTTAGACATAGATATTACTCGTATTACAATACTTTAGAAATACATAATACTATTCATTTATTTAAGACACTTTGGCGCAAAAGATATGTTTTAAAAATATACGTATAAGATTTTCCAAGATTATATGATTGATATTGATATTTAATGCGGGATATATTGATGCGTATCTTTTGATATTCGCTTTCAACTAATACAGTTTCTAATATATTTATATACATATATTAATATACATTATATTAAAAAAAATAATAATAATTTAATATCTATTCAATGTTATCTTGGTATAAATCACGTGCATCTCAAAATTTTAATACCCTACTTTAAAGCTTAAACTTTATTGCCGCTATAAATATTATTATATATTTCTTGCTGCTTAGTATATATAACAATTGTTGCTTATTACTAAACTACTATACATATAATTTTTCTAATTTCGCTTTTTTATGTTAATTATATGGAATTCATATTCTCTATTTATTTTTATACAAAATAGAAGCTATATATTTCTCAAAAGCATCACATAAATTACTAGCCACCATATCAATTGCTTCAAAAATTGCAATGATAATTCTTTGCAAAATCTTGTTGCTGCAAACGCTTTGCGGGCATAAAGTCATACCCCATTGCTTTAGGTTCGCCTTACAATATTGCCAAACAAAAGTAAAAGTCAGGAGTAAAAAATCGTCCAAATTTTTGGAACGTTTTATTAATTTTTCAGTGATTTTAAACAGCATCTCAAAGTAATTTTTATTAATTTGCAGAAAACTCATCTCCCTTATTAAAGGTTCAAAGTCAGGCACTACCGGTAGTTTTTTGCTTTTAGGACAGTCGTCGCTTACATACAACTTGGATAATAAATCACAAAGTACTTTTGTTAATTTTTCAATAAGCTCATTATCATTGTTTGATGGATCAGATGATGCGTTTTGATCGATTCCGATAAATATGCCCAGTTTTATAAGACGAGTAACAAATTCGATAGGGTCTAACAATGTGATACCGTTGACTTTTAATCCACCACGATTGATCGACCATACGATATTATGTGAAGTACTGTCTGTCCGATTACCTCCGTTGGTTACAGGCTGATTTGACAAAAGATCTCGACGATGTTTTATATAAAGTATCACTTCCGCATTTTCGGATATTTTACATGTATTATTTTCGGCAGCTTTCTTTACAATTTTGTTGAATTTTTTACGAATACGTTTGGTAACTATATCATTCTTATAATCATTGATGATTTTACTTTGAGTACTCTCGATTATGTCGCTGGCAAATTGAATCTTAACTACGGAGCCATAGAAAAACATAAGATGCGTCGCCAAATTTAATACATCTATGACATCGACAGTTTTTTTTTTATATTTATCATACACACTGTGACCCTGATATATGACGCCAATACCACTCAAGATCAGACTACCACCTTGTACAGTATTAAATGCCACTCTTGCAAGGGTATTTACTGTCATACCACGTGCAACAACATTGGAAATAATCGCTGATCCTCCCATTGCTCCTAAACCAAATGCAGTACCGGCCATGCTGAGGTAATTTGTAAATGCTTCTTTGTCAAAAACATGAATAGATTCTTCATGTTTACGGCGGTCTACTAAATGTTGGGTATTTCGACCGAATGACCAAGCACTAGTTGCAGTAGCAGCAGCAACTCCTAATAAACGTGATAAAATAGAATGTAATTCTGTCTTATACCTATATATATTATATATAGTATTGAAATAAATCCTGATATAAATAAATCATAACTTATATAATTAATATTTAACATAAATAGATTTTGCATCAATTAAGGACAATTTACCTGATACAGCAACAACTGGCGCAAGAGGTGTGAACAGTGCCGCGATACTCAAACCAATTGTGCCAAATCCGACGACAGTAGAAGCGACATCCATTCCCTTGCAGAGTTTTACATTCCATTTACATGAAGGAGACTCCAGGATTTCCAGCCAAACTGTTGAATAATCCTCTGTAGGACAATAAGCTGGATCTGATTCATAAAAACCATATTTTGGAAGAACCATAGTACACTCTGGTAATTTATTATTTTCTATATAGTCCGTCCAATTTTTATATACTCTGCTAGTGACATCAATGTATAATGTTTCATACTGTACTTCATCACCAGTTGATGTATTTTCTTGTTTTGCTTTTTTTGTAGTTTCATACTTTTTCTTATTTCTAATTGTAAAAATAGGAATAGGCATTACAAAATCATCAATCTTTTGTCTGTTTATCTGCATATCTTCGTCTGCTTCTTTTTTTACTTCTTTTTTCTTAGGTTTTATATTTGTTTTAGGACGGAATATCATATTATAAATTACACCATAGTAAATTGATCCAGAGTCATCGGTTTCTATTGAAGATGTACGTATTCTATCATATATCTTATTTATGACTTTTTGAGCATCTTCTGAATAACCTACTGTCTCAACTACATCTGCATTATTTAGATTCTCTGTTTTGCAATAACAATGATCTTCTTCTGTACTTGTACTATTGATATTCTCTGGTGGACCAAAAATTGCAAATCCAATGTTTTGTTTTAGATATTCATATTCATTGTCTTTATATATTGTGCAGTCAGGAAGATTCTCAAATAAGTATTGTTGCTGTTGCATAGCAAAAGTCTTCATAACTTCCTAAAAAACAAATGTATCATTAACAATACATTCAAACATTTTTGTTTTTGATAAAATTAATTGAGAAAAACTATCAAGTGATTAATTCTTCTATCGTCAGTTAAATCCAAGTTTTAAATTGTATTTTTGAAATGATCGAAATTGAGTGAGTATAGTTAACTAACGTTTGAAAAATTAGTATAACATAAAAAGTTGATGTTCAGTATAATATTGCTGTTCAATATATTAAAAAACAACTTACCCAATGTATGTCTGTAACTTCTTCTTCCTCTGTAGCCATTATGATCACAAAATCTTTTAAACGTTATAAACAATCCTTTTTTGCTAAATAAAAAAATTATATTAACAATTAATATATTTTTCCATCTTTCTGATAAAATAATGTTTGTTAATTTGATGAATTTAGAATGAAAAATTATTTATCGGCTGAATATCATTCAAAAGTTATTGTTAAAAAATCTTTTTACATCTATTTAAAATTTATTACGATATTTGTTATATTGCATATTATATGTGCAATTTATCTATTTTAAGGAGATGACATCATTCTTGATAAATCTTAACCTCATATGTTAATTAACTAAATTCTAATATTAGTTCAATAATATTATTTTTTATATGAAATATTTAATAATATTATATCAAAATCGTTGCACATATCAACATTTTTTTATTTAATTCTAAAATTTAATTACAAAAACTCACTTTAATCTGATTCCTTACACTTGCTTAGATTGACTTAGAACGACTATTTCTTTGTCTTCTTATATATATACTAATCTAACAATAATGCTCAATATTCGTAACAGTTCACGATAAATTGAATCACATTATAGCGTTTTATAAAAATCGGGATTTCCCGGAGAAATCTTGGAAATATCAGCGATTTTAACGTACCAACAATCTTAATCTAACTTGTGACTTCTGCTATTCAATTGTAAGATCTACGCACAATAGAAGGAATAAGGAAGTAGGAATATAGAATAAACGATATTAACCTATCAGAAATCGGGTACATCGGAATACACTGTTCCTGATAAGTTGAAATCGTTTATTCTTTATTTCTAATTTCTTATTTTTTCTATTATGCACAAGACCTAATGCGAACCTTAACACGATCGGTTGTAAGTACATTTTTACTAATTAAAAGCAAAACTCAATTTAATAAAATAATCAATAGAATTGGAGATGAGCTAGGATTCAGTTACGATATAGTTTTTTTTTAGATTTTCTAAATATTACTGCGAAATTATTTATTGAATAATAGTGATAATCCGTGGTTTGAAATGCAACTCGAACGTCAGTTATGGTGTATTGCGCAATTATTCAATAAAAAATCTGTGCGTATATAAGCACAATAAGATCAATGATGTCTTTCATTTATATATTAGATTAAGGAAAAAGTCTTTACACGTTGATAAAAAGACTTTTTTAGCAATTCATATATTCTATTTAGCAATTACATTACTTAATAGAATAACGTTTCAGCTTTAAGAATCTGTATTTTAAATTGCGATATGATAATTTTTAACGGAGTTATGAGCAATAGAGTCAGTTTCACCAACTACGATTTAGAATCAATCGTGATTGATCAATTCTGCTGAACAACAAATGCAATTGGTTAATTCCAATGTAACAATCAATCGATTAAGTTAATCGGTTCATAAAATCAGAATGTTTACTTAATCCGCGAGTAACTCAGGGACAAAAAATTGCAGGAACATTAAAAAAAAATGATTTTGTAGAAAAACTTGAAGCTTTCACGGTAGATAGTCGAAAATTTGTTCAATTTTTTTGGGCACGCAAACCTGCAAAGTGAAAAGAAAATTTTTCATTTTTTTCAGCTCAAAAAATATAGTAATCTTTCGAAAGTAGAGATTTTAAGTTTTAAACCCCTTTTTTTTAATTTAAATTTTTATTATTTTTAACGAAGATATTTATAGGGAAAAGTTCTTTATCAACTTGTAAAAAGATTTTTTTCTCTAACCCAATATTACAATATGCAATGGTGAATATCCGAATTCTGGATTCTCCGTTTGAGATAATTCGAGCGTAGAGTGCAACTTCCGACTTTCGGCTTTCCAGCAACATCGGCTGCGTTCACGGGCCATGTTCATATAGATTATAGATTATAAGGTATGATCAACGCGATGCTGCAAACGCTTTGAAGTGTTTTTTAACTGGACAGTTTGTAAAATTCTTTTTTTTAATTGGTCCATCAAATGCTTCAAAACATTTGTAGTGAGCATTTGGACTTTAACCACAGCCATAGATATTACTGCTAATTAATGACTGCAGTTGATTACCGATATTAAAAATCTATAATTTGCGTTACGTATATATTATGCTGTACTAGAGAGAAACCTCCCAGTCAAAAATGACAATGAAATCGATATCAAATCGATATCGATTCCATTGTCATTTCTCACTGGGCTGAGAGAGGACATGAGGGCCTTTTTCTTGTAACTGCAAAATGCCCCCGCATTACTATTATCCTCTGAAGAAGTAGATGCAAACTACATAACAGTATCCATTTTTTTTTCAGTGCTTCTGATGAAAATAAATCGCTGAAATCATTGAAATCTCTATATTAATTTGATAAATTTATTTCAGCGATTTCAGCGATTTATTTCCATCAGGAGCACCGCAAGAAAGTGGATATTGTTGTAAATTATATATTCAATGCAATATATGCGATTGAATTCTAAGTACTAATACATAATACTAATAATGATTGAAATAAATCAGTGATTTGTAATTTCTGTATTCTATGATTCTGATGTACGTATTTTGTTTCTGATTAGGTAATGAAATAATTGGTCTGTTCGGCTTGCTTACACTTTTTTACACTCAAATGAGATAGATATATATTCAACGCTAAAAAGAAAGCAATGCTGAGTGTAAAAAGTGTAAGCAAGTCGAACAGACCTATTAGTACAGATTATAAATGCGGAATAAGACATAATAATGACTGCCAGAATTAAACGATTCAAAAGTAACAAAAAGCCACATACGTTTCTCTTTTGTTAAACATATTGCTCGGATTTGATTGTGTAACAAAGAGTTATTACAAACTAATTATCGCGTATTGTAACACAATTTGAAATATATAGGTATAGCTGAATTATGTGAATGTGAATTTAAGAAATAAAACAATAAAGCCTATTCGTCGGAGAATATAAAAAATATAACGAATAGATTATTTTACTTTTTTCCTAATATGCGTTAATATTTCAATGGTTGGACGGTTGACGCATGGCCTTGGGGTGGGGATGCCACGGCGCGGCGCGTCATATTACGCAGTTCATGCGTAGTCACCGCTCACTGCGTAGTCATTCACTTGTTGACGCTTGTGTAGGCAGGTAGTCGTGCCGTTCTTCTTTACATAATTCTTTTTGAAATATTTTTGCGACAAATATTATACCAGATGAATATGAAATGTCGTACTTGAGATTCCAAAAACTTATGTGAAATATTAAATAAGTATTAAATCAATCAGAAAAAGATATTTTAAAATAATGAATATTAAATAACTCGCTTTATTATCTTTATTTATAAAATATTTTAAATAAAAATGTTTTAAATACAATCGACCCCCTGACTGATACGATTTATTTAAAAAGTATAATAATTTAAATAAGTTCCGAAAACTTGTTTAAAATATTACTTAAGAAGTACATCAGAAAAAGTTATTTAAGATAATAAGTACTAAATAATTCTTTTATCTTTTTTATTAAAAGTATTTATTTTAAATAATTTTATTTTAAATACGAGTCCTGTATATTAATATATAGATAACTTGTCTTTATACTAAAAAAATATAATTTATAAATTAATATTTTTTGTCGCGGAAGGAAACAATTTCTTATATCAATTTTCATTTATAGCTTTCTAGTTTTAGCGGCGCGAGTTGTATGTGATACTACCATTATATCGTGCTACATTGAAGAAAAAATAATTATTTTAGAATTTCAAATATCTTTTATCGACTAATGTGCTGACAAAAGTAAAAAGTAACGTGGGTTTTTTTTACATAATTGCTTACATAAAATATTTCTGACATTCCAATTCCATTTTCATTGCTCTCTTTAATGATTTATAATTAAGTAAAGATTGATAATATGTTATACATTCTTTAAATAAAGATAAATGCAAATATTTTTTTTAATTATGAAACAATTTGGATTAAATAAAATAATATATATGAATATCATTCATATATATATATACATTAGCGATAAATAATTTAAATATAATTTACCTATTACTTTTTCCGTATTAAGAATGTTAAATAAGACACGAGAATGATAGAATTAAACGAAAGTAACAAAAAAATCACAAGGCATTAATCTTTTATTTTAAATACATCGTGTACATTGTGCGGATTTCGTGTAATAAAAAGTTATTATAAACTAATAATAATTTATCGTAACACAATTAAAATATCTAAGACATTCATCAGCTGAGTGTGTGCATAACGAATGTAAAAAATAAAGCTAACACCTGTTAATCGAAGAATATTAAAAATATAACGAATAGAATATTTAACTTATTTTGTAAAATGCGTATTTAATATTTCGACGGTTAGACGGTTGGAATGCGGCCTTGGGGTTGTTTTGATGCGGAAGGGCGGACGGGCAGCGCGTGATCATGCTTACGCAGCTTATGCGTAGTTACCGCGTCATTCCCTTACTGAATACAGTCAAATAGTGGTGGCGCCTACCGCGCTTCTTTACAACTTAACTCTCCTTTTAAAACGTAATCGCGAAAAATGTTAGATATAATATGAAACATTGTACTTTATCAATACTCACAGTATACGATTACTAGCTTGCATGATTAATTATTCATATAAATGAATCGAGATGATAAGCATGTATCACGGAACATATATTTCGTTCGGTTCATTCAAAACGCAATGGAAAACAGAACTTATAATATTACTTATTACTATTTCGCGATATTTAGAGACGACAATTATTTTTGTTTAACATAAAATTTTTTCTCGCTTGAGTGTAACTCTTGATTACACTACAAATGATATCACACAATTCATGTGTGATTCCTATTATACTTCCACATTTAATATAGTTTGTGTAATTAATAATTTAATTAATTTTTCGTTTTCGTGCATCTTTCGAGCTGTATAAAAAATTGAGCATAACTTTGCTATTTGTCGGTAACAATAAAAGTCAATACGCGATCAAATATTAAAACGAGTAAATCTCTTAACGTACCTCACAACGTAAGATGTTCGTAGTGAAAATTTTTATATTTTAATTCTGTAACAATTGGAAAAATAAACGTTTCGACCTTAAATTAGGTCATCTTCAGTATTACAAAATTACAAATTCGGAATAACGCATATAATACAATATCGCAGAATAATATAAAGAGTTTAAAATGTCGAGTTATAAATTGTAAGAAAAATTTTTTTCAAAATGATAATGTTCACAACAAGTTATCTTTGCTGAGTTAAATCTTCAAAGAGAAGGTAGTCGGATATTATATCGTATATAATCTTGTTAAATTGTCTATTATTAAAATTTAGTCAATTAGTCCTATCGCTAATTCTCTTTTCTATTCACATATAATTTCCAGATTCTATGTGCAATAATTTTTATGAGTCTTATCAGGATGTGTGAACTTGTGTTAACGAATAGAATATCAGAGACTTGTTTAACACACAGTCTCTGATATTTTCTTTGTTATTCTAATCGTTACATGAATAGTCCGCGCATTTATAGTGTATTATTCGCGAGTGTTTTACGCGAGTGTCCTGTGCGAGAGGATGTCAACCCGATTCTGAGAGGAGGAGGAGGTCTGGGAGAGACATCGGGCATCAGCGGAGCAACCTTTGCGGTAAATATTTTTTGTTTATGTAAAATCAA